CACGTTACAGTAACCTAACCGAAATGGTCAGTTTTTTCGTTGACCTCTTTTTTCGCTATTGTTAATTTGTGTAGGAAAGACATAAAAACCGACGAACTTTCAGACTTACGGCCTCACAAAACGACAAACTACCAAGTCGACAAGCAAATTTAGCTCATAGTACAGTCGAGTGCATTTAAAAAAGAACTGAAACGCCTGAAAGACGGTGTGCCCTTGATGGCACATCAAAATGTCAGCTTAACATTGCGCTTTTCGACTTTATAATCTGCCGATTTTTCCGTCTCAATTGATGGACCAAAGTTCAAGTTGTGTGCTTATACAGACTAGTTTTCATAGAGTAAAGGAAGGTCCTAGGAACTCCTGAAATGAGAACCTTCAGGCAATCCTTTGGAACTAAGGAACGAAGAAGGAACTTAAGCTAATTTAGGTTTCTTGACCCCTGCATTCTTTCCTCCAGCGTTGAAAGGCTTAATACGAGGGAATGAAATATGTAGATGTTGAACAAGTTAATTACTACAATCCCTATAATCTTATATAACACGCTAGGTGTGCCTGCTGGTTTGTGGGTAGGTGTGTTTGACCAAAAATCCATGAATTTGTTCTCGAGTTCCTTTTACCCAGAGAGTTCAAAACTGGTAGGAGTGCCGGCGGCAGGATGGGAATGATAGTGGTACGTGTAAGGTGGGATCCGTCCACTGTGGACGGAAAGTGCACGAAATAAGTGTTCGACCGGCAATCTCATTACTCATTCCCCATGGAGTAAAGTGTTAAAATTTTGGTAAGAGTACAGAGCCAGAGGAAGACAGGCAAGCGGATGACTGCAGAGTTATGGAAGCCTTGGTTGAACTGGGCAGTTATCCACCGGCATTTGATCCGTGGACCATACGCGTGTGGTGCGCCTTTTGTCACTATGCCACCTCCTCCCTTCGATAATTACCAATAACTATTGGATGTACAATTTTTCGCCGATTTCCACGATGAAAAAGGTTCCGTCTAGTTTTGAGATGAAATCATCGCTTTCTAAGGACTTCAGTAAAAGTTCCCAAGGAACAAATCCTTTCATTAGGCACTGTATACTCCATTTCGCTTTGTAATGATTCGCCATTTTTCTAGAAGTTTCACTGTCCTCTTTTCGTTGGAGGCTCAAGACTTATAATCGCGAAACTATGCAAATTTTACTGTCGTCCAGAAAATGAAACGATTCCCCTTTCACGAAGAATTTCACAGAAATCGGAACGAATGAGGGTTTGATGGTGCTATCTTCGAGCTATATGGGGTACGCGTGCGACGTCAAATTTGAACTCTAGTAAAATTTGACGAGTGGTCACAGTTACGTGCAGCCCTGTTGAAAGGCCACACCCATACGAATGGCTCATTCTAGGTGCTTCTGTTCCTGTTGTTGCCTTCGAATGGTCCAGCTGAGTTCAGTACCTTCCATAGTGATCGTTTGGCCTCGCAGTATCAGCTTTTAATAGGTAACCCCTTTCTGGTCCTCAGCGACACGCTAAGTGTTGATGGCGGTTCACTGGGATTACTCCGTGATTGTTTTCACTCTACCTTGTCGTACACAATCCACTTCTCAACCCCATTACGATGCGTTTCAGAAAAAGCTGATTTTCGTTTCGTTCAAGCAATGAACCCCTCGCGGTCCAGCAAGCTGCTCTCGTTTCTCATGAACACTGAGGCGGCTACCAAATCAGGCCTCACCCAAACTGAATGGTTGTGAATAGTCACATTTGATCGCACGAGCCTTTTCTTACGAATAGGTAGTTTTATCCTGATTCATTTAAGTCAACATTCTGGATTGTTCTTATGATTTGAAAATGGTGTTCCCTGCTTATGTCGATCTTCAAGAGTGATATCTTCTTGTCTGAATTCCGCAATCCAGTCAAACACTGTGCTTTCTGAAAGGCATCATCTCTGTAAATATAGTATATCTTTTATGCTGATTGGGCTGTACTCTGGCTTCCGCTGTAGGAGAAAATCATGAGGTGTCGAGAATGCCCTCGACAAAGCTTCTTCTTTACAATGGCTTTTCACAAACAGAGCCCTGAGGGATTCTGATTTAAAGGCACAATTCACGAAAATCATTGCTGAAATTCCCCCACAGGATGAATTCGAGGCCTCTCCTGATACCATTTGTGCCGATGTCAGTACGAGAAACGTCTTCAATAGTGCATAATGCGGAGCCAGGCGTTGTATCGTGTGGATGCCACACCCCTGTTGGACGAGTTTCAACGGCTTTGTAGAGGGTGCACTACCTCTAGACACTTCCATGTTGGAAGTTCAAACAACTTGTAATGACCTAGGGCAACTGTGGAAGGCAGTTTTAGACAATATTAACTTGTTGTACTGGCCTTTCTCGTACAACTTATTTTCCGCGGAGTAAGGTGATTCTCTCACTGTCTTCGCCACCAATGCAATACGTTACATAGACACCTCTTCTTCTCAACTTTAAATGGGTACCTGAGACCTGAACTGTGCCTTTGACGTACTTGGAGTAATAACTTTTAGAAAATGTATAATTTGTTAAGGATGACTGCGTGTAAAATTAAATTTGGTATACCCACTGCATTCACAATAGGCGGATACTTTCCCAACATCCAGTATACAAATATCACAGGTCAATAGCCGTCAGGGAAGAGTTCTGCAGCACAGTTTTTTTTTAATCAAAAAATAAAACTTGGACTCAGTAATCCACCTGAAATACGTTCATCTATAGAAAACTTAGCTTGCCTTAGTTGACATTCCATAGCGTTTTTCTACTCAAGAACTCGTAATCATATCATGAATTCATTATCTACGGAACCGCTTCTTTCCCTCTCTCCTTTCTTTTCTTTCCTAAACGCTTTATTTAATTTTGTTGTAATAATTTCCAACGTTGATGTACATTCTATTTCCTTTCGGATCGTTATACAAATCTCTGCCTAGCTGTATTCATTTTGTGCACCAAATTACTAGTATTGGGAACAGCTTCGGAAATGCTAACTGTAAGTTCCGCTGTACCCTGCCAGAAGTGTTCCACAGAAGAGCATACTGTAACTGCTTTTGAAAACGTCCGTCAGAATCTGTAAACGGGTCGTCTAGATTTCAGGGTGATGCCTATCTTGAGCGAAGTCCATATTGTAGTAATTCAGTAGATAGGCTGTACTATCCCTACCTTCACAGAAGGATTACTTGTTCCTAGTTTCCCAGTGTGGACGACTTCTGAAGGCGAACATAGGGGCCGCTACTTCATCCAACGACTTCCGTGGACTGCTTCATCTGCGTCTTTCTGTCAGTTATGGAAAACCTTCGAGCATAATGTAATCGTTTCTTTTCAACTGGAATCTACAATGGTTGTCTCACTGATTAGCATCATTTTCTTGTTTTCTTTTTTTCCCTGAGTGATAGGAACTGCTTCTTACCTAGATGGAACGCTTACACACAATGGTTTCCGAGGTCATCCTTGTCATCGTGTATGTAGGTACACCGAGTCCGATGTAACCATTGTTGCATTCTATTCACCCAAGCCACATTTACATCTACGCCAACATGCACCTACAGTTGATTCCTCTTATTTTGCCTCTACCCTAACCCATTCAATTCTACCACCTCACCCTGTCGTTTGTGAGGTGTTAGAACCTTACAAGACTCATTGAAGTATCGCGAGACTGTAAAATGCCGTAATGTCTTACGTTCGCCGATTTGAAGAAAGCTTTTGATAGCGTCGAGACAGCAGCGGTAATCGAAGGCCTGTACAACTAGGTTGTTCCCACTCAATATCTACGTAGGAATGCTTCGTGAGCTCTACCATAACTTCACGACGAGGAACTCGCCGTTCCATGAAGAATTCATCATTCAGTTCTGTAGTTGTAAAATTCAAGTTACATTATATTTATAGTCTTACATCGCAAATAATTTGAGTTTGAACCTACTTTCTGAGAAGTATCAGGCACCGCGAGCTTTTTTGACGTCCTGTAAGACGTATTTTTCTATATTCTATCATATCTATTCAACTGACCTGAGAGAAATCATAGTTATATAACGATGGAAGAGTCCTGAATATTCCTAAAAGATCAGAATCCAAACTCGTCGCTGCCAAAATCTGAGTGCTGGGGCAACTGAGAATAAAGTGCGGTTCGCCAGTAACAATATCTACTAGGGCCCAAAAAATTCCAATTGGCTGCTTGTTCTCGGAACATGAAACTCTAGTGAAATTCTACATTAAAGGCACAGTTCACGATAAAAATGGTTTCTGAGGTCCCCCCACAGGATGAATTTGAGGCCCCCGCGTATACCATATTAACACTGTTAGGTCGGGAAACGGCACAGATAGGGAGCAATAAAAGCTCAAATATTGGCCCGTGTTCATTCTCGGACGAGTTTCACTGGCATTGGTGAGGCTGCACCGATCACAAGGGAACCCACGTAGGAAGTTCAAACAACTTGCAATGACCCATAGCCCAGTGAAAGACAGTTCTGTACAGTTCTGGCTCGCTGTAGTCAGCTCTTTGCGCAATTGCAATAACTAGAATCTCATCCGAATACCACTTCAGTATTTCCGTCATGGCAATCTCGTCCAATCTCTGTTCCCCTAACTTTTGAGGAGCCATATTTCTTTCGGGATCGGCAAATTCTCTCGCTTTCTTCACTACCGATGAACTATTTCCAATCTATACTTCCGGTTTTCGAATAAAAACGGGTACCTCAAAATTATCGTGAACTGGGCCTTTGAATGGGAATCGATTAGTTGTGAGTCTTGGTGATCCAAAACATAGCCACTTTTCAAAAACTTTCCTAGCTGACATGAAAAGGGTCCCAAGCTTACAGTATCCAAACCAAGAGTATCTGAATGCATAGGAACAGAGTAAAAACAACAGAAACACAGAAAGTTTTTGTTTCTTTTCTTCTAGGCATTCAGAATTTGACTTCTATCATTGATTCTAGAATCGATTTGAGCCATAACTTTCTCTTTATTATCTATTCAAGTGACATGCTACTGAGTACGTTAATTTCAGATGATACTCAGGTTACTGCTTTACTTGGTACCGCTGTTTCGAATGTCACTGCAGGATCAAAAAGGTAAGTGATTCCTTCACAACGAACTGCCGAATTACTGTAGATGGCTTCTCTGTGGATCCTGGCTCCACCAGAAAAAAAGTAATCACCCAAGTCTTCTATCAAAGCCTGTGAAAGATCATACTAGTTGAGGAACAAAAAATATAGGATCAAGGAAAAATACTTGCAAACATTTACATCTGATTTATGGCTTTATTAGGCTGCAATACTCGGGTGGATATTCTCGATGGAGCCAATCTTGTGGAGGCGGTAGCCATCTATTTGACGGATACTACGATGGCCAAAAATGCAGCACAGTGTGCTACTCATTGTCACCGGAAGAAATGTGATGTAAGTCTTTTATAACGGCATTTCGAGTTTCATCTCTCACAAGGAGAGAAAAAGGGAAATGCAAAAGAGGAAACGTACGATAGGGGGGGGGGACAGCATTTTTTTGTCAGAGCTCAAATATAAGGTCAGCTTTTGACGCCATCTAGGTAGATAGGTCCGAACCCTAAGTCATACGTATTCCAGTAGGTAGGCTCGTTCAACATGTGTTAACTGATCCTTCTGATCAAGCTAGGTTAATGGATCAGCTCGATGAGTGCCCTTTACAAACGTTTGGCGAAGACACTTCCACAACTGGGCCCTCTTAGTGCTGCAGCTTTTCCACTGAGTGACGAATGCCATCGAGTCGAATGCCATCGAGTGAATGAAAAGAGAGTATTATTGGGTTTGAAACTACCGCCGAAGCCATATCAATCAGTTTTTATTCATGCGCTCTTAGTAGGCCGTGCCTTCAGAAGCAGTGAGCCCAATACATCGACTCGAGGATACAAGCATTATACTGACTGGGTGCAGAGCATGGAACCTAGGTGAAGTCACTCTGAGAATGGAATAATTAAGGTCTAGCAAACTGTATCTCTGAGCATTCCAAATCCACTTAGTCATATGGAAACCTTCGTACATTCGGATACGGTAGCATCTTGCTGTATAGAAGACCGCTTGTTATCGCCGTAAGAGGGAGAAAACCAGTAGTTATGCCAGCCTACAAAGGATTCAGGCGGAAGCGGAATCTTGTCCAGTTCTTCTCAATCATTTCGCTTTTTTCCCAAAACCAGGGCGTTCACAGACCCGAAGGGCTCTCGACTTCTTGGCTACGACACTTTGTCTCCACATTTTTACAAGAAATCGCCACCACTGTACAACATCCCAAAGTTACTTTCGAACTTGCTCGTGAAAGCCGTCATTGCTGATGCTCCTACTTCTACTTACAATTTTCACTTGCGTCATATTGTCGTGACAGTTGGTTTACCAAAAGAACTATCAAGCACTGTATGGGTATCACTGTTAGAAAGGGAAGGGTTAGCATGTAAAAAAACTTGATTAAATTAGAATGATGAGCCTGAAAAACCCTAATATGGCTGAGGCAAAACGTCTCTGTGGAACATTGTTGGGGAATTGCTACCGAACAGCCTTTCATCCATATTGCGATTCAATTTCGAATCTCCAAAATGTTAACAACGCTGGAATTCAAGGTGAATGCGCTATATTTGGTATGCTCCTAGCGTATTCTAGCTGAATTCAATCACATATGGAAAGAATATCGATTATCAGGGAGAAATGACTCAAATTATTGCTGTTCAGGTTGCTTACTTCAATCGTCAAACAAGTAAATGTCAGTTCACATCGGATACTAGTTCTTCCGCACCACTTCCTTGTAAAGACGTTTATGCTGTCCAAATAAAGGAAGGAATAGCTGAGCTGGATCAAGTTCAGAGATTTTGCATGCGATGTGGAAGTAAGTGCAAAAACTCTTTTCCGTTATTCCTTACAAGCTGCTTTGGAAATCTCCATGTTTGAATGAGTTCCGAATGATAACTTATTGAGAGGATCTCCTGGGATCTCTTCAGGGAGATCGCTGGTAAAACTCGTCCATTCGATCTTCTTGCCTGGATATAAATACCGGGACACTGTCGACGCCTCGGTCGTCCTTTCTTGAGTTGATGGAAATGACAAAATGACGAGCACACTCATTCCTGGAGTACCAGATCTGCGCACCATAACTCTGACAATGGCTGCCACGCTAGGTTGTGAATTCCTGAAGTCATGGGTGCGTAGAACATTCCCTAACCATCCAATGAACACTGTCCACTCCAGGTTTGCGCAGGTGGAAAGGGCAAGATAGTAAATGGGCCCGCTATGATGCTTTAAGACTGCTACCACTCGCAGCAAAGCCAAAGACTCGCAAAGGCCTCCTTAGCTTTTCACGATTCAATGACTTGCCACCAACCACCATAAGACAGTAGGCCCCCTACAGTCTAGGAGCACAGATTTGATGAAAAAACAGGTTTTCAAAAAAAGAAAAGCTCACATTTGCGTAATCCAGAAAGCGAAAAGTACTGACAACGACAATCTCGTTTGTAGGGAGTCCCAGCTTTGCCCGACTTTATAGTAAGCAGATTTTGGTGCCAATCTGTTTCCTGGACTGATCCTTTTTTGTTGTCGTGACCCGATTCAGCCACTCTCAGAAACTTAGGGATTTTTGGAGATGCTTGCTCCAGCAGCGAACGACTTACTGATCCCTATAATAGAAATGTTTTTTTTTTCGAACAAAATCCTATTTTCTCCGCAACAGGTGACCCACCCCTGAAGGCACGGCCTTTACCAACCTTCCCAAGCTGGAAAAGCTTATCGATTCCAGGTAATAAAATCAACGGAGGTTCCTCGATTGATAAAAGGCACCCTCTCAAATTTGTACATTCTGCCAGAGGAGAAGGCCAAGCAAAGACGTTTCGATTGGTAGACAATGCCTCACAACGATATTTCCCTCGACGTCCTAACGACATAGTTCGTCAAAAGGTTTGCTGTAATTCGTTAATCGCTGGATGAGATGTATAGTGGTCTATTTCGGTTAGGACGGAAATATCATAAACCTCTGAAATATCGTATTTCAGAAAAGAAAAACGGAATCACGTCGAGCAAAATTCATCCGACCGGTCAACCGGCAGGGTAAGCTATTATATCTTTTAGTATTCATTATGCTCTGCAATAAAAGGATAATTTCCTGATGAGATAAATAATAATGCTATGTTTTTTACCTGCTGTTTTAACGCCGCAGTACTCGAAGCGAAATTCTCACAAGGTTGTCGATTTATGGACAAAACTTCAGTCTCGGACGGGACTCAACCTTTCGAACAAGGGAGTGCTTGAGAGGGCGGAGCATATGGTAATCAGAAGGAGCAATAATCCAGGAGCACATTGTGGAGTAATCCGGGAACCCGTTGTACAACCTGGACCAAAGCGATAAAAATCTTCTCTGAGATTCCATCACAGGATGAATTTGAGGCCCCCGCGTATACCATATGTGGCACTATTAGGGCGGAAAATGGTCTAGCTAGAGCGTTATGAAGGCTCAAACATTGGCCCGTGTGTATCCTTGGACGAGTTTCACATTGCAGAGGCTGCACCGATCACAAGGAAACCCATGTAGGAAGTACAAACAACTTTTCATGACCCATAGCGACGGTAAAAGGCAGTTCTGTACAGTTCTGGCTTGATATAGTCAGCTCTCTGTGCAATTGCAATAACTAAATCTCGTCTGAATATACCTTCAGTGTTATTTCCGTCATGGCAATCTCGTCCAACCTCTATTTCCCCTACTTTTGAGGAGCCATATTTTTCTCAAATCGGCGTATTCTCTCGCTTTTTTTCACCACCAATGAACTATAACCAATCTATACTTCCGCTTTTCAACTAAAAAGTACCTCAAGATTATTGTCTGAGTGAAGGCTGAGGGCGTCATTCTCTTATCGCGTTGGCCTAGTCTGTACCCAAGCTATGAAACCATGCTTGCGTTACTGCTAAGGCTAGTATCCCCTGTAAAAAAGCGGTCTAACCAATTGTTGACCACTACCCCCTTTGTCAGCTTTCTACCGGAATAATCACATCTGGCCGGGCATTCCAAAGATTCCTTCGTCTTACCGCTAAATCCTATCTCCAATTATCAGGTTATAATCATTTTACCAGAAATCAATTGGTTACATTAGTAAAGAAAGGCAAAATAGTCATTTTTAGCTACCACATACCTACCAAAGGAGCGGAATCTATCGCGGCATCTTACCATGAAGTATGGAACTACCGCAAATCAAATATCTTCCGAAAAACGAGTAGGTTTTCAGTCTTTCAGTTGGGCTGATAAAGAATATAGAATTGAGGACGTGCTATCGCATGTTACTATGAAAATTGTAGTATTCGGCATTAGCTTGCTATTGAACCTTGTAGTGAATGGCAAAATCCCTTTTTGTGCTATTCAATCCCGCTTTTTGGGATGCACCTCGCCTTCCGTTCAAAGTTGTTGGCGGAGGTGGTGGCAAGTGGTGCCCTATCAGACACGCACGTTCCGTATACCGGTACTTACCCAGGCTAATCAAACCTTTCATCTGTTCAGAGTTGCGGAGCATTGTAAGGTGTGATGGTGGCACTAATATTCGCAATTCAATGGTAGTTCGTATAAGTTGCGGGACCCCTTCATGCTCTGATCGCTTGAATTACACCCTGGCGTTGACGGCTCGGGAGAACAGCCAGTAATGAAACGGGCATCGAAAGTTTGATGACGGAATAGCATCGCGGTATGGTCGCATTCGATCTATCCATTTTATTTAATTGCGTCATCAAGCCGGCTAGAACTTTATGCTGCAACAACCAGCTCCCTGATCCATAACTTATTTAACTACCGCATGCTACCACTAAACCTTATAACTGTTCTTGTCTGTTTCGGGCTGCTGTTGATGCTCTAAAGGAAGACAAAAAGGGAAGTGTTGAGATAAACCGATAGGAAGAGTCAAATGGGAAACAGTACCATGGCTTCTGGAGACGGTTGATCCTTCTCTTTGTTTTGATAATAAAGAGTTCTTTTCAGGGAAGCAACTTCCCGCCATCATGGAAGAATGGATCANCATCGAAAGTTTGATGGAAGAACAGCATCACATATGGTCGCTTTCGATCTATCTAGTTTATTTACTTGCGTCATCAAGTCGGCTAGAACTTTATGCTGCAGTATCCAGCTCCCTGATCCATAGCTGATTTTACTACCGCATGCTACCACTAAACCTTTAACTGTTCTTGCCTGTTTTGGGCTGCTGTTAATGCTCGGAATTAAGAGAAAAAAGGAAGTGTTGAGATAAACCGGTAGGAAGAGTCAAATGTAAAACTGTGTCATGGCTTAATTGGAAGCCATTTCTCTCTGGAGACGGTAGATCCTTCTTTTTCATTCTGATATTAGAGAGTTCTTTTCAGGGAAGCAGCTTCCCGCCATCATGGAAGAATGGATCACTGGGAAGGTTTGATGCAACGAAAAAACGTCATTTTGGCCAAGGTTTTCGAAGGACTCGAATAGTGAGCGGACAAAGTCGTAGGAAAAGTTTCTATCCAAATCACGATCATGATCGGCGGACAAGGTGAGCATTTCTGAATTTCGTGTTCGTACTTCTGAACTATGCGCGTGAGTTCATCTTTCCAAGCAAAAAGTGCTGCAATCCGGACGGAATTCTGTCAGAAGAAAACGTTCCAGTCCAGAATCGTGGTCTGGAGACAGAAAGCAGCCGCTGCAATTCGACGTGTATACAAATAGTGCCATTTTGTTACCTATGATTGAGGCCGGAAGACAACCATGAAAAATATGCCGTAAAATTCGTTTAGTATATGTGAAGACGGGCGCTCTTCATAAGCTTTGTAAGGCTCTGAAGTGAATCGTACTTGATCGAGTATATCCATATAACTCAGGTAACATTAAGTCCGATTTTTAGATGCATCAATATGAAGAAGAACTTTCGTAACGTTACACCAAAGGCGCTAAGGAAGCAAAAACAAAGATTTTGAAGGGATCTATTCTAAAATTGAGTTATGAAGCAAAAGAGATCGGTAAAGTTGATGTCTAAAAGTAAAGCTATTAGAATCGTGATAGAGACTCACGTCGAAGGGTAGCTTGAACCTTCATTCGATTTTATAAATTCATTTATTTGTTTAATACACAAAATTTCTCATGTAACGGCCTCGAACGTGGCTAAAGGCACAGTTCACGTTAATTTTGAGGTACTCGTTTTTGTTCAAAAAGCAGAATTATAGATTGGGAATAGTTCATGGGTAGTGAAGAAAGCGAATGCCGATCTCGAGAAAAATATGGCTCCTCTGGCTCCTCAAAAGAAGGGAAAATGGAGGTTGGACGAGATTGCCATGACGGAAATAACATGGAAGGGGTATTCGGACGAGATCTCAGCTATTCAATTGCACAAAGAGCTGACTACATCAAGCCAGAACTGCACAGAACTGTCTTTCACTGTCGCTATGGGTCATGAAAAGTTGTTTGTACTTCTTACATGGGTTTGCTTGTGATCGGTACAGCCCCACAATGCCGGTGAAACTCGTCCAAGGATACCCACGGGCGGGTGTATGTCGTTTGGCGCGATGCCGTTCAACTCGTTCAGATCGCGTAATCTNTTTATAACTCCCGAACTGGGCTGTTTCCCGACCCAATAGTGCCAGATATGGTATGGGTCCTCGAATTCATCCTGTGGGATAATGTCAGAAACCATTTTTATCGTGAACTGTGCCTTTGAGCTGGCAGCGATAGACCATCATCTTATACTAGCGGCTGGTTTCATTTTATTTTACAGGTTACAATCGCTCGGGAATCTGAACACAGCACTTTATTTCAAGAAGAAAAGGAAGGGATCGGGAAATGCAAAGTGAAGCAGCGGGTTTCAAGGCTCATTATCCTTGTTGTTATTATATTTACTTTGTGCCAGAACTGATACGCTTTTGAGAATACTGGCTCAATTATTGTCTACCTAGGTGAAGACAAGTGGAATATTAAGACTTTATTTATTACGATCATTGATTTCTGCCTAGCATGTTCGACATTCTCATCTTACTAGGGTCTCAAGACATCGTTATCTTCTTCGATAGACTACTCCTTTTTATATTATCATTGATGTACATTACAAGAATCTCCAGCTAGGAACATGGAGAATCAAGGAATTCCTTGCTCTTTTGCCACAACTTAATTATGTGTAAGCTAGCAAATCGAAGAAAATGCAAAAATAAAGCTTTGCAGTCTCGAGTCTTTTTTCCAGGGATATTGGTGTTCATCTGTGACCGTAATCGACTTTTAGTTTCCAATAGAAACGATCTTCTGAGAGAAAATTCTGGGATGCTCATTTAAAAGACAATTCAAGGGGTGTGGTGCGTTAGGAACGAAATGGTCGCGTCGCGGTGAGAGTGGCGTCGCGCGCGAAGGAATGTAGCAGGATGCAGCGGTAGGTAAGAAATACAGGAACAAAAGTACTAATAGTAGAATGATGCATAAAATAATGATCGCATATCGATTGAGCTGTATGAAGAACGCTAGAGCTGTAATAATGGTGGTCCGCGACAGCCGCGTGCGGCAAATCGATTACCCAAAATCGGTCCTAACGCTCGTCTCCCCCATTCAAGCAATGATTTCATAGTACAAAGACCTCAGAAAAAAGGATTGGCTCAATTGTTACTGTTAGAGAACAAAGGCGATGTTCTCCACGCCACCTTGTCGGCCCTCAACGTATGTTGCGCGTAATCCGTCCTCGTAGAATATCTCAGGATAGTGAAGGCAAATAATAGACGACGGAACGACGATAGCACGTAGAGTTAGCGAGGAAAGTATCCAGCCGGGACGGAAGGGTTAACCGAATCCGAAGCAGTCTCCTGTAGGCCATCTTTTCATGCCCGCCGGTACGTAGGCTATAGGCTCCAGGCTGCAGTGCAGAAGCGCGGTAGGACCTAGTGCAGAGTTTTAATGACAGTCCACTAAAACGTTGTGTTGCTCTGCACGTGTGATGCAGTGTATCGACCGCAATAGGCGACAGTGCACAAAAGAGGTCGTACGGAAGTCATGACAGCAGGCACCACGTGAGGGTCACTAGAGTGACTTTTGGCTCATCTCGTAAGGGGAAATCATCGCCGTGGTCAGGGACAGTCTCCTCGGTGAACAAGTCGGATCAAGAACTTCTATAATTAAGAACGCTGCATCTCAGATCATCTGCTGATTGTCTTATTCAAATCAGAAGGATTAAAGCACCAAATAACACGCGCATCCAGCGACCACCACCCGATGTAGTATATGTACATGAGGTTTTTGAGGTTTTTTGTGACCACAAATCACAATAACAAATCCAGCCGACGAATTGGCGCTGCTAACGAAAAACCGATGATATCGCTGAAGCTGATAAGATAGAACAGAACTGTGTGAGAACTAGTGAGCAACGAAATTGTTGGCGATCATGATCAAGCGCCGTGTCTCGCTCGTTGAATAAGCTTTCATTATTTTCAAATGGATATGACCTTTCGTATTCAACTTCAGTAAAAGATTGACCGGCACCGTCAGAGACCTGCGAACGCGTCCAAGAATGGCGCTGTTTAGCAAATTCCGGAATTTTTTGGTTTTTTTCGACATTTCTTTACCCCTGACACCCATGCACTTTCTTCTGAGGCATATGACACTTGAGCGAGACGTGACAATCTCTAGAAACATCTTGACACCATTATCTCTAAGATGTGCTTAAAAGTAGAAGACGTGATGCAAGGGACTTCTTTGTGCCGATAACTTTTTTTTAATTTTAATCGGCTTCCGGCACTGTCCTTTTTGAGTGATTTTTTTATCGAAGACGTGAGTGCTTTCCTGTGTGTACTGAGAAACAACGCAACAATCACGAAAATCGTTTCCACCCCATAAAGATATCTTGAATTGGATTCATAAGGTGGGCTCTCAGATAGGAACAGTCGTACGATAAGTGGAACATTTCGAAACATAGATAACTTATTTACATTAAAATCTAGGAGGTGACACACTAGCCCACATATGGTCCAGTGAACGAATCTCGAGTACTGGAAGCGACCAAGCAAGCCTTCCAATCTTCCGGGTTCGATTGTTTTGTATAGGGGCAAAAATAACTCTGACTTGTGGATCGGCAGATCTCCTCAGTCAGTTCCTGCACTCAGACATTCACCGGTGGCGACAGAGAGCGGGTTTTCTCCACGTGAGCTTTGGAACCCTGTCTTCTGACGACGACCATTGCGACGAAACGCTAGGCCGTTCGACTTGATGAAGTGCTCCGCCTTAAAACCTTGTGCGGCACACGAACATACTTACTGCAAAATTTATTCTTTATATTAAATAGTTTACTTTTTAGGCTTCAAATAAATTTTGCGTACTACGTATCTTCCCACTCGAATGTAACTTCTGTAAAGTTCGGTCAGCAAAACTGAGCTCCTCAATAGAGTGCCCGAGCTTATCCAAAAAAAAAGCAGCGCAAAGGAGAGCGCGAGTTTCTGAAAAANAAAAAGACATTCATTAGCATTTCACTCGAACGCACGAACAACATGTTGCGCTTCTGTCACACATTCAGGCTCTGGAGTGCTCCCGATTGGATGCAAGTTGACCTACGCAGAAGGCGTGTCACATGCTATGAAGTGAAATTTAAATTTTGAAACTTGACTTTTCAATTGAAGGATGCCGTAATTGCCGAGACACTACAGTCATTTGCCCTAGGAATTCAATTAGAAACACCTCTAGTTTCGCCACCCCTCAATTCATTACTTCCAGTATTCTCTTCAGGATCCCTGACAATTCTCTTCAATCAGTAACATCCATTGAGGAAATTGGAATGCCCTAACTTTTTTAGAATGAAAAGAGAAAGTCTTTGTGCGTTGATCTATGCCGTTTGAGGGATACGCACATGCTTTCGACATCCATTCAAAATCTTGTTGGCGAGGCGAATTGGATGCGTATTCGACCTCTTGGATAAATTGCGGTGGCCAGTCGATGTACAAGTCAGTGCTCTTATACTCCCAGACGATTTTGGTACCAATTAACTGACCCCAGGGGGATGGAAGGCTTGGTTGGCCTAGGCAGATATCGATTTAGGATTTGAACCTTTGACTGTGCATGTGTGATATGGGCCACTTGCCTTTACACTAACTTCGCCCCGTTCAGACTATATCGTGATTTATTCCTTATTACGTCAGTTCCTAGGGAAATATGTTCGCCTCTACATAGACTTTTGCCGTTGAAAAGAGTGGTAAGCACATCTGAGGAGATCGGTCAATTTTTTCATTTTCACTTTTTTGATGCTCAGGTTTTTTGAAAGGCAGTAGTTGCTACAAAGCGTCTTGGGTTTTTCTATAGCACCAGTTTTATTTGAAGAAAAAGACCTTTGCTATTGTCCCTAACTTTGAAATTTATGTCAATGCCTTTGCAGTGTTCCCTTAGCGGCAGAACGTTTCCTATGGACATCGTTTCCCAAATTGAGAGAAAGACATGGAGGTAAGAAAAGCAGAAGAATAGACTACACTTTATCCTCACCAGTACTGATTGGATGTGTGTTTAATATGATATTCCTAGGGTATTTCGAAGTTTCGTTCTTTGGCATGTGGAGGAATTTGCTTAGATTTGGTGCACTTCGTACTAGCGAACTGTAATCTTAGGGTACGGCAAGGTGATGAAACTCAATAATGACAGGTTCACTGATATGATAGTTCTTTTCTTTTGACAATGATAACAAATCAACTGACATAAAATTTCTTGTTCGAATAAAACTTTTGGTCGAAGACTTCTATCACTGATCAAACGTGGAGGGTATAACGTAATGGTCTGTTGCGCTTTGCACTCGAGGAGCTCCACAGAATTGCGTACTTGGAAAAGGAAGCTACGTATGTGTACACTGAAATATGTGAAGCATTCTACCTGATCAGCATTTCACTTCTACCGGGAGCTCTCGAACTCTCAGCCTATTTCCAGAGCCTGGTATCACCAGGTGACATTTATTAGATAACAAAGGCCACTATTACTTTTCATATAATCTCAGAATCTCGCAGATAATGAGTAACTCTATACTTTATGGGAAGAACCACAATCCTCAACCAACTGCAGTTACGAGAAAGCTTGGCAGAATGTCTCAGAAGGTCGGCGATTTGTGGACAAACTTCGGCATCGGACGGTTTCCCCCTCCTAAGGTCGAAGCTCATAAACCACCAATTTTGTGAGATTTTCGCATTGGTACTGTGGCGATATAACAGCAGTTAACAAAACACCAAGTTAAACTTGGCAGTATGCTTCTTTTCGGGAGCCGGCGTGCGGTCCACCTGCAAGATGTGTATGTTAATGGACTGTGAGTGGTGTTGGAGCAGCTGTTAGTTCTGCTAATCGCTCCCAGTCCTCTTTATCTAAAAAAAAANAAAAAAAAACCCTTGTCGATCCTAACGAGCAAAATCCGTGTTACTATAATACCGTTGAGGCTGTAATACTTTCGTTTACATCATCGGGAAACTATCCACATGGCAAGCAAGACAGAATTGAGAAGGTGTAGGCAAACGATGCAAGAAGTATCACATATGTATTGAAGTAATAACAATAAAACAATTATTTATGAGCACACGTGGGCTGTCTGCAAGTGGAATTTTATTGTTCTGTCCTTTGAGATAACTCGGAGGAAGGCGCATGATGCCATGCGGGATTAAATTGTTATGAACAAGGACTGTCCTTGAGAAAAGCATTCTGATGAACCTGTTTCATTGCAGGACCTCCATTTCTGATTAAAACACCTCTAAAGATGTTCATAGTAGATCCCCTCAATTTGAAGCTCTCATAACTGAAAGGGGAAAGACAGTGTTGATCTCGGAGCACATCGTACCCTCTCTTCATCTCTGAGAAACGCATATATATGGATCCCTCCAGATGACTAGGTTTCACCGAGGTAGTCTGGGTTCGAGCTACGTTTTTCAGTTCCATAAGGTAGAAAAAATGAGGTCGGAACCGTCCTCATTTCAGGTCAGTTGAAGTGATTCCACCACATACTTGTGGAACTCCAAAAAGGAAAGAGTCAAGGGTTTTTTCTGATCGGCACTATTAGGAAAATGTGATAGGAGCAAGTCTCCATCGTTCTAGAATTACTTCGCTGAGATGAGATTACCTATAAGACATACTGAATCAAGTCACAAGGTCAAAAACTCACGAAAAAATTTCGGGTGTCGGAAGGGACTCGAACTCGTACTTGTGCTATGAGGGCATCGTGCCCTGAATTCAGTACACTGTTACTCGACTGAATTGCTTCAGAGGCATTGACTGTCGTTGCTGAAGTACGAGCAGTATACCACCTCATAGAGTGCCTTCAGAAAGGCACCTCTAGAATTCAGAGAAATGGTTTGATGTGCTTGTTATCTTTTAATTTTCGAATTCATTGAAAGGAAATGAGCAAATAATAAGGGCATCATTGAATTGGTCATCGCCATGACCGCCCACACATACATTTCCGAACCGACGGGGGCCCCCGAACGAATGTATTGATAGCGGGCAATGATTCAGGTCTATAAAACACTTGTCCTTCAATGAAATAATCAGACAATTTTTTTTCATTTATCAGATATTGGGGTGAGATGATTGGTATAAAGTGCTTTCGAGGTGACTTAGCTCACCACATTCTACCCTTGGATTTGCAGTTTTTTCATTCTTAACTCCTTCCGACTCGTCTAATTTTATAATTTCAGAATGTTCCGTCTAGCTTTGATAGCAGCTGTGTTCTGCGCATATGCCTACTCTGAGCCGATTCCACCGCAGTTCAAAGCCAACCCAATACTTTGCACATTCTGCAAAGAAACCGTGGATATAATTGCTCCAGAACTGGACAAGTCATACCCGGAAATTGAAAAGGTTGGTATATGCTCGAGTCGAAGGCAGATGGTCCCTCGATTGTATTTGGAGCGGACTCTGTACACAAGTTAAGGACACAAACAGTTAGTCGTAGCTCATGATGACAATCAAAGCCACTTTTTGGCGTTTCTGTGAGACTGTAGCCAGCTCCACACAAAAGCTCACAGCTGACAATCGTCTAGATGCCCCATCCATTACATTCCTGCCGTGATAACCTCGTGGAACCCCTTTTCTAACTACTTTTATGAAGCTCCTTTTCTCCTAAAACCATTCAGGCGCCGCTTCTGCTGCTGTACTGTTGTGGCACCATAACTTTCACAATTTCACTCATGTCAGGTACCTCGGAACTATTGGGAACTAAGGGGAGTTCCACGTCTGTTTGGGTTGGCAAATCGTCAATTCTTTGCTCACGTTTGGTTGCTGCGATGCAGTCGGTTTGTTAGCCATGGTCACCAGGGAATGCAATTGGTTTTACAGAACTCGTTGAAAATGGTAAACCTGCCTTCGTTTGGGGGCAGAGCCCATGGATACGATGCTTCCATTTCAAGCCATGCTGTGTATTCAAACAGTACCGCTTACGACGGCCCTTATTAGCTGGCTTAACTTGGGCGCCTGGACGCTATGGCAAAACTATCGTTAGTATCATCTTCAAGCACATCCTTATGCTGAAAGGGTCGGCCCTTACTTCTACCCAAATGAGAATTCTTAGTTATATGCTTTTTTCCGCAGCAGTACGTTAAAAGTCTCGCAGGTGTGACGAGTCTAAAAAGAAACGCTTGGCTTCAGGTGAGGCTGAAGCCTGCATCACAGGATTTTCTCGACCCTTTCTCTCTGTTTCCGTTGTCGGCATCACGAAAGACGTCTGTTGGGTCAGGAACATAAAGATGTCATGTCCGGAAGAGATTGTCGAAGAAATCTTGACTTTTACTGTAGAGTTCTTTTTTATATTCTTTTTGCATATCTATGTGCATAAGTAGAGTCTAGAATAGCTCTAGCCGCTGATCGTCTGAATATATTTTTCCAGGCGTTCCTTATCGCTTGCAAGCACTTCTTCAGCTTCTTACCGGATGGAGACAAACAATGTGAAGAAATTGCCAACAAAGTCATCAAGCCAATCAAGGAAGCCCTTGAACAAGGTGTTACATCAGAAGATGTTTGTAAAAAGATTTTAGCATGCTAAATCAAATTCGATTGTAATGCGATTTGCTCTTTCCAATAAAGTGTTCTGAATTTTGTCCCACTGTCAATGTTCGAATCGTTTTTGCAATCCTCTTCAGCCTCTAACGGCAGGAGAACATGTCCGCCTCCGCGTGCGTACGTTGGTTAAATTGGTTTTGAATCCGTTTTACGCCCTATCTAAGTGGAGCGTGTCCCTTTTGCTTTCGTTAAGGGCCATAGGTTCATCCTGTTCTAAATGTAGCTTACAAAATTAGAGTTAAAGTACTTCATTAGAAGAATAAATGAGAAGGCGACCGCTGT